CAAAAACGTGCCCTATTTTTGGTCTATATAGGAAAATCCAGCAGCATGTACTGTAATACATTTTTTTTTTTTTTACATTTCATAAAAAAATCTATCAAATTTTTTAATCACAGTTGCTTCAATTACTAGAGTGTTGCAATTCGTGGATTTCTAAACATATTGCAAGATTATGTCGACAACTACATCCATCAAAGAACTAAAAGGACCTTTTCCATATTTACCTTCGTTTCATAGTCCTTAGAATATTGGAGGTCGGGAGGTCAGACCTCAAAGAAAACTGGACTCTGTAGTGGCCAATAAAAGGCTGATCAATGTTACTGTAAACAGATTATACGTAAATAATATGTTGTTTTTTTTTACCATTTTGTTGATGTATTTGGCATCACATTAAAATGCCTCTATAATTCTTAAACACAGTTTAGGAATAGTGTTATAAAATGCTATAGAGGCTTTGAAACAGGAAAGCCTTAGTGTACTTTGAGGCTGTCCAATCCGAGTTTACAAATAGCTACAAGACAATAGATTTTTTCCTTGTATTACCTGAGCATTGTTTGCACAAGTGAGCACACAATGAAATCTTTCACTTTCTGATCTCCTGAGAAGCAGAACTACAAAACCAGCCTTTTAATGGACACCTTTTACAACAGAGAGGCTTTGAAGTTTGCCTTCAAAGATGGTTCAGGAAAATTGTGGTCATTCTGTTGTGGCCTGTAGCTTTCTCAAGTAGTTAGAAGACGAGGGTGATGTGTGGTTTTATTTAATCCTTCCAGATAGATGCCAGAAGAGGAGTACATGGAGAAGCAAAAACAAGTTTTTGCAGTCCGGCAGATTGTAGACACTGACCTTTAACTGTTTGATTATGGTTAATTGCTTTGAGAAAATGGCTAAATAAGCAGGAGAACAATATCTACTGTAATCCATCATAAATCTGCAAGTTTAGAAACAGACACATAAAGGTGCTTTATAGAAGTTTTCCACACTCCTTGATCTTTCAAAAAAAGTTAGACGCATCGCAGCTACATACTTAAAGGTGGGGTATATGATCCTGGATAAACGGTTCCTGCCAGCTACATTTTTGAAAATACACACCTTCAGCCCACCCCACGAAACCACGCCTCCAAATTACATGAACGCGCCTGCTGTCAGTCGAGAATGTTCGGATGTTCCCGAGAACGAGAGAGAAACAGGCCGAGACCTCGCGAGTGCACGTGACTCGGGATGAGGCGAGAAGCTCATGTCTATTACTAGCTAACCACAACATAACAGGCTAACTTCCATGATGGCGTCGTCTTCTCCTAGTACGGTAAGAGTGTTGAACAATTCAATATGGTCGTAAACAAGTTGTCACGGTTGTCATTTCAAGAAGTATTGATTAGGGTGACCAAACGTCCGTATTTCCCGGGACATATCCGTATTTCACGTCCTGTCCCGGGCGTCCCGGGTTTTTTTTAGAAAGTGAGGAAATGTCCTGATTTCACTGCGCACGACGCTCCGTGTGACGTAATCCCTGAGCCGCGTCAGTGCAGGCAGCCCTGTTCTTAATCAGAGGCTCTGTTCAAAAACCTGGGCTGCATCCTCCAAGGACGCGGTCTACCTAGACTGGACCCTTCGAAGTCCTTGAAAATAAGGAGACCACAAGAGTTCTGTCTGTAAATTCGAACAGGTCCTCCCTTCAGCGGCACTTGGGGGGGGGGGGGGGGGGGGGGTGTCACGAGTCTGTGAACGCGCAGGGGGGAGGGGTGGGGAGAGCTCAGAGCTGACGGTTGATGGGCGTGCCAGAAACCAGTAGAAGTAGGGATGATAGTTACTTCTATTGGTTTGCGTTTTCCTCTGACTACGCCCTCTACACTGGACTAAAAGATTTCGTTTTTTTTCCAAACATTCTATCTCAGTTGGCGCAATGGGCTCGTGAGGAGGTTTTCAATCAGTATGGTAAAAACATGCTCCAGAAAACATCACATACCCCACCTTTAAACTGCAAAGTATTTATATTTCTTGCCACAGTTTCTCAATTGGATTTGAGTATGTATTAGGGCTGAAAAGATTAATCGGATAAATCATAATTAATTGATTATTTAAATTATCCTAAACTAATTTAGTAATATATTAATCGTTCACTGGAGTATAGAGACTGTAAAATATGCCTTTAGCTGACAAAGCAACCCATTTAGAGCAGTAATAATACCAAAATTGTAAAAAAAAAAATATGTAAACATTTTGCATTATAGATTAAAAAATCAACATATCAACATGTTCTACACACAGCTTCTCAAGTGCAAATGTTTTAGTTTCACCTGGTTTTATTTAGTAAAAAATCTTTAAGGAAACTTTGCGTATCTGATAATTATTTGATTAATCGAAAAAATCTGATTCATTGATTTGTAAAATAATCTTTAGTTGCAGCCCAATATACTGTGGATCTCTGCAGCGGGTCATAGAGTTGGACTCTCATGTCTTGGTAGGTTCAAATTTTAGTCATCCCCAATCTATTTTAAACAGAATATTCAGTTTTATGTGAGATTTTCACAATTTGAGATATTGTTTTGCACTCTACTGTCCCTGTCTTCATGAGGTTATACATTCCCTAACAAAGCGTTGAGGCCTTGCAGTATTTCTACTGACATTAAATACACAGGTGAATTATCATGTAGAAAAATTAAATGTAGAAAAGTTGTTTTTGGCTTCAGTGCTGAGAGAGAAATATAGAGTGGGAAACCATTTGATTCAGCATTTCCTTTCATTCATTTAATGAATGGCTTCCACAAACAGAGCCTATTAATATTTAATAAGAAAGATTATATATACTTTAATGCATTTTCCAGCCTTTGTTAAAGAGGAAGGCTGGAGCCAGGTGAAAAGAGAAAAGAAGTCATCAGAGTGGATATAACCACGCAACTGTATGAAACTCTGTTTCCTAACAAAACAAAAAGATATATGAGGACAACCAGCAGCACATTTCTCTCAACCTAACACTGCACGCTGCTGCCACAAAAATCAATATTCTAGCTTCAGTCAGTTAGAAACCAATATTTCATAGATGACTGATGTATTGCTGCCAGTGGTCGCTTATGGAGGATTTACTAAACAATAAAGCATTTTCATCATAAAATCTAAACTCTTAGCTGTGAACTTGATATTTAGTAAGAGTATAAAGGAAGAAAGGAAATCTACCTTTCCTCAAGTCTTAATAGAAATATAAACTAGAGGCTAGGTTGTAGCTATTTATATATATATATATATATATATATATATATATATATATATATATATATATATATATATATATATATATATATATATATATATATATATATATATATATATATATATATATATATATAAAACATAGTAAGGGAGATATCCTACAAAGTGAAACACACATACTTTTCCACTAATCTCTACAGGCCAGAGTTCAACAAGGAAGCTATTATAAATTTCTCACTATGACACTCTTACCCTGAAACTGTTGTCCATTCTTTTTGGCCCTATAACAATACTAAACAGTTGGGGGGAGATTTTTTAATTATTGAAAACATATGGGAGGATTTTGATTTACATTAAAATATTGTTCTTTCTTATTCCCCATAATATAAAGAAACTGTTATTTTCAATAAATCTTATTCTATTGGATGGATGGATGGATGGATGGATGGATGGATGGATGGATGGATGGATGGATGGATGGATGGATGGATGGATGGATGGATGGATGGATGGATGGATGGATGGATGAGCTATCTCTATAGTTGTGCTGCTATAGGCTTAGACTTCTGGAGGACATAGGGACCCCTATTTCATCATCCTGCTTCATTCTATCTCTATTCTCCCACTCTGCAGAATCTGTTAATTTAGTCTCTAACGTTATGCTCTCTCTGCTTTTTCTTATAATAGCTTTGCCTTTGGCTGTGACACCATCCTGGAGAGAAATATCAGCTGTGTAGCTGCCATCAACACCTTTGTTTATAGATGTTGGAGATTGTCCTGTTTTCCAGTGTAGTCCTGTTTCTCTAACTGTTACAGGCTGGACGAGCTGGCTCGGAGCTCGTCTGCCTGGCTTTGTGTTTCCTGGACGGGGGGCCTTTTACAGTTCCTTGGACTCCAGTCGGCCTCGGCAGATGGCCGCTCACACTGAGCCTGGTTCTGTTGGAGGTTTCTTCCTGTTCAAAGGGAGTTTTTCCTCTCTACTGTCACTACAAGCATGCTTAGTGTGAGGGATTGCATTTGGGTCAATGAGTCGATGCAATCAACTTGTTTTCCTTAGATAGTAAACTTTGAATCAATTTGACTGTATGATCTGGTGAACTGTAAAGGGACTTGAGATGACATGTGTTGTGAATTGGCGCTATATAAATAAACAGAGTTGAATTGAAATTGAAAATCGGATCGATGGATGGATGGATGGATGGATGGATGGATGGATGGATGGATGGATGGATGGATGGATGGATGGATGGATGGATGGATGGATGGATGGATGGAACTTTTATGTTTCTTAGGCTACTATTTGTCAAAAAATAAAAATAAAATTTAAAAACAAATCTTTGTCTCTCTGTATGATGCAAATAACCCCTGCCTGTGGTTAGTTATACTGTTTTTTTTTTTTTTTTTTTGTATATTTGATTTGATATGCTTGTTAGTCGGAATAAAAGAAAAGAAGAAACATAATTAGGGAATATATTGTAGGACCACGGTGCAATCAGCCAATTAATTTCTACTACTCCTTTAATGCGTAAATACAGGTAACCAAGGCAGACTTGCCCTCTCCTTGGCACATGGGCTTGCAAAGACTACTCTATGTTTCATCATATCGCATTTCTGCCACTGTCAGCCGATATAAACACGAATCCCATATTATAGCGACTAAAAAATGCAGCAGCAGTATCCAATTCAAAATGTAGGCTCTAAATAAAACTATACGCTCCGCAAAAACAATGCGATCAAATGTTGTCACACGTATTTTGGGTTTCAAATTAGGCCAAGGAAGCGAAGTTATGACTTACCAAAAGTTAGGAGTAAAGACAGATAAACTCCCCACTGATCCATATTCAGCTTCTGCCTCAGAGCTTTAACACCTACAGCAGGATATTCCTTCTGCGCATTTGGGAATCCTTGTTGCACTATTATTTCCTCCTCAACCACTCTGTTAAGAGTTGTTTTTTTTTCCTTTTAATTATATCTTAGAGTCCCGTAAGTACCTTCCAAGCCGCTTTCAGTGTCACGTTTTTGCGCAAAGGCAAAGCCATGCGGGATGTTGCAAAGTGGAAACTGTCCTGCTCGCTGGACGATTGGGAGCCTTCTGTTGCGCATCTACGTGGTCGCTGAAGTCCTTGAGTCTGCTGCTGGAGAGATGCTGAGCGCACTGAGCTGAGGAGGAGGAGGAGGAGGCAGGAGGAAGGGTATGTGCATTCTGGTCACACAGTTATTACCTACTGATCGGGGGTTTTCCTTTTCTAAAAAAAAAAAAAAAAGTGACTTATTATTATTTTAGCAAATTAAAACATTTGTCGGTCTTAAAATCTAGTGTGCCAGTGCAGGTTAAAAAACATAATTAGGGGGGCCACATGCCGAAGGCATGGCCCACCTATTACTATTGCACATATTTATTCCGCGTATTATTAGGGGGGCCACATGCCGAAGGCATGGCCCACCTACTACTATTGCACATATTTATTAGGGGGGCCACATGCCGAAGGCATGGCCCACCTATTACTATTGCACATATTTATTCCGCGTATTATTAGGGGGGCCACATGCCGAAGGCATGGCCCACCTATTACTATTGCACATATTTATTCCGCGTATTATTTTTATAGCTTATAGTTCTCCTCGCCACAAAACTTCGGCACCTAACTAGTCCCGCACGGTTTGTCGGATCGGGCCCAAAGTTGGCACACGCGTCGGGACCAATGGTGCGATGCGTGCTTGTATAAAACTTTCTCATTAGTCCGAAGGTTCGCGAATTATTAGCGAAAACGTCGCAAAAAAAACCCCATAGGAAATGAATGGGGAGAGGGAAAAAAAGCATAAAAAACAGCACTTCACTGTGTAGGCATACATTCATGTAGAAAAACAGTTTAAAGCTCAGTTTGTAGATAAATCCTTCGTCTGTATAAAACTGAAGACGGCATGTTGATAACTGCTACGGTTTTTGTATAATCAGACCTCAAGCGCCACAAAGTTTTAGCAAAATCCAGCCTTCTAGAGTGGAGAGACTGAAAAGCTAGAGTGTGAGGCAGCCGTTTTTTTAAGACCAAAAAACATTTTAAACTCGCCCTCACGGCCACATTTTTATAGCTAGAGTCACCATTTTTGGTCAGTTTGTAGACTGAAATCTCTGGACCCACACAATGTCTTCGGAATTACGGTAGGATTAATACTTTTCCTTAAAAACCCTCCAGACCGACCTAAAGTCGATGAGAATCAGAGCATTTTTCCATTGGTTTTGGAGCAGCAGTGGGGAGAAAAACGAATGACATTATGTGTTTTAAACTCGTCATAAATATTGTTCTGAAAGACACACATACACCAAAGTTGGCATAGTTGGAGTCGAAGGATGGCTGACGCTCACGGTGAAAAAATTTTTTGAATAACTCATACGGTTTTTGCTCAGCAGTCGTTTGTTCGGAGGACATTTTAAGCACCAGAAAGCTAGGTGAGAGTGACCTGCTTCAGCTAGCTCAATTAGAAGCTCAGGTGTGAGGAAACGTTTTTTCTTTTTCTTTCTCTTCCCATTCAGGTTGTAGATGACCTACAGCCATGAAAGTTACTCCAATTGAAGACAAGATATAGCTGTCGCTTAGATAAAAAGAATTTTTCAGATATCATTTATGGTTTTTACTCAGCAGTCGTTTGTTCGGAGGGGTGCTTTAGCAGCTTAAAGGTGAGTGAGAGTGAGGTCCTGCAGTTAAAACAAAGGGAGGAGCAGGTGGGATCAGCCATTTTGTTTGTGCTTCGTTTTGGGTTGTGAAAGACCTACAGACATGAAAGTTACCCCAGTCTGAGACAAAGGATAGATGTTGCTTTCACTGAAAGAATTTTTCAGATACCTTTTATGGTTTTTGCTCAGCAGTCGTTTGTTTGGAGGGTAAGCACCTGGAAGCTAGCTGACAGTTAGCTTCTGCAGCAGCCTGCTACAGTGCAGCTGCTGAACTCTTAGTGTGAGGCAGCCATTTTTTTTAAGATAAAACATTTTGTTCTTGCCTCACGGCCACATATTTGGAGCTACAGTCACCATTTTTGGTCAGTTTGTAGGCT